TCTCTCTCATCGAGTCTACGACTCCCCTCCCCCCTGAATAAAGTGGTCCTTGGGTAAAAAAAACACTACTACTTTAATTTAATGAAGTCTCAAATGATGAAATGCATCATATAGAATTTTTTCTACTTTCTCATTAATTTACAAGAACAATATATGCAAAAATTCCTCTGGATACAGATATACAATATGATAGATCCTGATATGGCATCTTGTCTACAGTCACTTTCTCACAGATGTGCTGTGGCTTCCCTTTGTCTTTTCTATAAATATTTTCATGTCATCTGCTCTGACGAACTACTTTCACTGGTGCCCCAACTGCATGAATTTAAGCGTGCTACTAGGTTGGCATCTTGGTTCTACCCTTTCACTGTCGAAACAGTTAAATGTAGCTGTCTCTTCTACTCCAACAGCTTCTTCTCTTGCACTTCCCAACAATGGAAATTCCCTTCCTCACACTTGCTTCTCTGATAGCTATAATCTTCAAATATTCAAATGCAATGTCAATCAACATCTTCTGATGCCTTGATCTTGTTCTCTGTTCTTCTCTATATCCTTTCTTCAAACACCTCTTTTTACTCTTGCTCTCACTGTAACCTCTTGCATGCTAGTGGCACTCCTGCCTTTCTTGGAGTGAAATGCTTAGAAAAAAGAAAAAAGAAAAAAAGAAAAAAACAAAAAAAACAAAAAAAAAAGCATTTATACCAACAGTATTTGCTACCTTAAGACATAGCATATCCTCCATAGGGGTTAAACAGGCTTGTACTCTTACACCCATAGAGTTGTCCAGATGACAAATGCCATCCTGTAATGTATTATTTTATGCCTCTTACACCTGATGAGACAATACAACAAGAGTTGTAGACGAGTTAACTGAACGAGTCAGGCCTTATCCCACATGTGCAATGAAAGACAGGTCTGGCAAATGTGCCAGTGAGGGAAATTATCAAATGTTATGTAGATCGTGTTGAGGAGGACAGACATTACTAATTTCTATTGCTGGGATAACAATAGAAAAGCTTGAACAATGTTCTCAATATATGTTCAATGTTTCCTCCACAAAAACCAGTGGAAAGAGACAATTTAATTTGTGGCACTCTATGCTAAGATATCAGGATTTGGCCGTGTATGTAATGAATAAACAGTCGCAGATGTCATGCCACAAGTCTACATTGCAAATGATCATCACCTGTATGAAAGCAGAAACAGTTCTCATCAATGAACACTACACTGGTGTGAAAAAAATTGGAGCTTACTATATAAAATGATTATATACCATTATTTTATTAAGATTGTTTAGCAGTATGATTTTATCATTGGTTTAGGTGGATTGTGAGGATTGGAAAATAAGTTTGTTGCATTTTCATAGGTGCTATATAACAGAATATAGGCTGCTTTTTGAAAAAAAAAAAAAACATGCAAAACAATTCAGCTGATGAGAAATAAAGTCATGATAATAGGCAAATTTCTAAGTAAGAATTGTTCCATTTTATTAATATGAGTGTATGGTACCTTGGAAAGTCATTGTAATTGAACATTAGGTTGATTTTTTTTTTTATACTAAAATGAAAGCTAAAATTTCTACTGAAACAAAGATGAAAGTTTTGACTGAAGATGACTCAATGAGAATCAGTCAGGTTGCCTGGAATTGTCTAAAACAACCATCAAACCATCCAAAAAACATTTGCTACTACTGGAAGTGTTTTAAGAAAATTGGAAGACCATAAAAATTAGACAAGGTAAATGAAAGAAAGATTGTGAGAGGCTTGGTAGGCAATCCAAAATTAATGCCAGATAAGTGGGGAGTGAATGCAGTCTAAAACAGTGAGGTTTCAATTGATTTAGTATATAGAGTATTATGGAAAAAAAAAAAAAAAAAAAAAAAAATCAACTTCAACGGGAATATAGCTGCAAAGAAACATCATTAACTAAAAAACATCAGAATAGAAGAAAGAAGTGGTTAAGAAAACATCTAACATGAAATGCTGGAGAGTGGCATAAATTATTTTTTAATGCTGAATACAGAATAGAGTTACATTCTAATTCAAAAGAATGTGTAAGAAGACCAGTGGATGAAAGAAATAATGCAAGATACATAAAAAAGATGGTAAAATTTGGGGGTGCACATGTAATGGTATGGAGTTGCATCAAAAGCAATGGCAGAAGAAAATTGGTAAAAGTTGATGGAAACTCGAACAGTGAAATCTATATGAGTTTACTACAGTCTAATCTTCTGCCAGACGTCAAAGATGTAGAGATTTTTCAGCATGATAATGCTCCTTGTTACACACAAAGTTTTCTTATAGATGAAGATGTTCAACTTTTGAGAACACAAAGTCCTGATCTCAATATAATTGAACCATTGTGGCGGGAAATGAAAACATAAGTGTTCAAATGAAAAATACACAATCTGGGAGAGCTTTGGGATTATTGCCAAGAAGAATGGGAAACAATCCCCAATGAGAAAATTTGGATCTTCTTCCATTCAATGCCATATTAATTACTTATGTTTTGTACTTTTCTGTAATAGATATGTAAATATCCCTTTTTATGACAAAAAAAAAAAATCCTTTTTAGCATAAGAGCTGACAGGTGAAATTTTCATTGCTGACCTAATGTTTTTGCACAGACTTTTTTCAGCATCACTATGCTTAAAATGTTTATCATTTACATACAACATTAATGAAAATGCAGTAACTTGTTTTCTGGCCTTCAAAGATCATAAGATGTAGTGAAAAAAAGCTCACTGGTAATCACTCTTGAATTGGGGATAAAATTAAAAGTAATTAATTTACCAAAGTTGCTCAAAAGCTTTGTACATCAGTTAATAGAGCATCATTCATTTCCTAAAGTGATCCTCTTGTGACCAGGGCTGAGTTTAGATGAAGATAAGCCCTGGGTGATTTCACTTGTGAGGCCCCTCCAAATTCTCCATTCTTGTGAGTAGAGAAAAAAGAAAGAGTGTTAAATTAAACAATTTGAGTAAAGCCAAGAATTATGATGGGTCTTTAAAATTCCAGAGTTGACAATTCCTCCTCTAAAGGACACAAGATGTTATTGTTAAATACAGTATGTGAATGAAAAAAAAATTATGCATAAAATTTTTTTAAAAATCTATAAAGAAATCAATGCTGGCATAGAGTTATTGGCTTAAGACAGTCTTATTGTGAAATGGAATGTAAAGAAAATTACCGAAAGCTTGTTTAGAGTCTACAATGCATTATGACAGCATGTGTAAGAAAGGGCTATGACAGTGTCAAAAATATTACACACCTTAGCTGGAGGCCACCTAGATTTCGAGGCCCTAGGTTTCAGCCTGCTAAGCCTATAGGTAAATTCAGCACTGCTTGTGATACCAACAGAGACATGAATGATGATAATCTGGTGGAGTGTGAAGTCTGGACAGACACACTTAAGCCTATAGTTCTACTGTAAGTAAATGATTCTCAGCAGCACATGTTGACACTCCTAAGGCCACCTGATCTGTGTGTTGGAGACACTGTGCACAATGCCATTAATTCATCCAAACATCATTGCAATGAATCTTACTCTTTTACTTAATTCCTCAAAAACAGAAACTTTAAGGAATTTGTCATATTTAAAATACTCTGCTCATTTTACCCTTGATAGAGAGCATACAGCTAGATCCATGAACTGATCTTGAAACAAACAAAAAAAAAAAAAAATTCTTATTTCAAAGTTTTCTTTTACCAAGAACTAAGATGATATACAGTGCTAGCATGTAGCTTTCACAAGCTATTGGTATTAAGTTTATTCTTCTCTAAGCAAACTGTGAATAGTGGGTTAAAGTTTGATAAACACATTTACTTCATTCATTATTTTTTCTAACATATACCAAAGTCTCCCCTTAAATTAAGAGCCAAATATTAAAATAGTAATTACTAAATTGACTATAATTGACATCTCCAACTGAACCCCATTTTAAATCAAACTTGTTCCATTGATGGATATTACAGTTTAAATCTTTTTCTTATATTTTTTAATGATACATTTTAAAACTGTGTCATGTAATTATTGTATTTTATTCAAGTTGCCATGCTTGAATCACTTTCACCTTGGTGGTTGTTTTTATGCATTTTCTTAAGAATATTAAACAGAATTCATATTATAAAAAAATAAATATATAAACTGGATATATTTTTAGTTCTTTAAATTTTGTATGTTTGGTCATAAAGAATTAAAATAAAATTAAAAAAAAGGAAAAAAAACAGTTTTCCTTTTAATGGTCATTAATTTCATTTACATTTGAGGTTGGCAATATTTTCTCTAAATCTCAGGATTTGGAGATTAAATGGAAAATTTATTTACATTGAAAAGAAGAAAAAAAGGAAGAAACTGGATACATTTTAAAATAAAAAAATGGATATATGTTTAAGCTTAACTTTGGGCAGGGGCTAATGAAAAAAATTGTAATGTAATTTTCAGGATGTAATCAATTTTTTTATGATTATTTTACAAAATCTAGATATTAGATTCTATTTTAGGAGGTCTAAAATGAAATTGTTACATTAAAAAAAAAAAAAAAAAAAAAAAACAAAAAAAAAAAAAAGATACATTTTATAATTTTTTTTAACTTATACAAACATGCATTGGAATATAATAAACAGATTTTTAAGTGGATATCTGTCCCTTATTTTTTTTTATCTATTAATACTTTACACACCAGGGATCCTACCAAGGTGATTAACAAAATTTACATTTAATCTTCTGAATGATGAACTCCATACCTTGAATAGTAGTTTTATGCTAAGCAGAAGCAGATTGAAGAAAACTTCAAATTCCTTGCAATGTATGGTGATAAAGTTAAAAACTGTGATGAAGAGTTTAGACATTAGTGATATAACTTTTAATGGCACTTCATCTTCAAAACTATAAAACAAATTCTTGCCTGTTATTAATCAACACTTACAGTTTACTTGTTATTTATTTATTTATACATTATGGCACAAAATGCACAAATTTTCACAATTTTAAGTACTTACTGTAATTGTTCCATAATAGTGAATTTTTAATTTCTCCTCAGGTAATAGAATTTCTAGTGGTGGTGTCAAGGGTTTTTGCTGAAGGAAAAAAAATGATCAAGCATTTTATTTATAACAGTAACAGAAAAAAAAAAAAATTACGGAGAAAAAAAAAACAAACTAAATCCAAAAAGTCATGATACTCAAACATAAAAGTTAATTTTACATTTTGATAAACAACACAAGTTACAAAATTTCATATTAGTATTTTTCAAGCCAAAGATCACAAAAATAAATTATGTTATAAACAATATTTTTATTATACAAGACTATTTCAAATATTGTTATCTAGTTAGGAAAGAAATGAATCATTTGCATTCTGATACTTTGTGTTACTTATTATTGGTGAAATATCTTGTCAGCCATTCTAAACAATCGTTACTGTCATTGGCTTCATTACCATCTTCAAATTGTTTTGAATCACAATCCAATTCACTTCCAAACTAAGATAAGGAAATTTCTCCGGAGATGTATTGTCAGAAGTTTCTAAGTTAGATACATGATACATGCTTGGCTGATCATGTCTCTTTTGATTTATGACTGATTAAGCAGGAGATTTCTCACAGTAGGTTACTGTTTCTTTCTGCAGTAGACTTGCTGCTAATCAAGGCTATAGGGCCCAATCTGTTCTACTATTCAACCCATAGCAGAGGGGGGAGAAGATCCCTTTTATAATACATTTAAAAAATAAAGTGTTTCAAATTTATTTTCTCTACACCCTAAATAAATCATATATATATATATATATATATATATATATATATATATATATATACACACACACACACACACACACACAAGGTGCAATAGATAAATTGTCGTCTAAATTACGCAACAATAAAAAATAACACCGACATATCATTTTAACAGATATCTTTACCAAATTGTACAAAAATATCTTTAAATACTAAAGAGTAAATTTATTCAATAAAAATCACCATTGGCTTCAACCACAGCCTCCAGACTTCTTCAGAATCTCTTCTGGACAGTCTCCTTGTTTAAGTTGGTGAATGCAGCTATAATCCTTGCCTTCAATTCATCTTTGGTGTTGCAAGGAGTTTTGTTGGTCTTTCACTCAAATGCACCCCACACATAATAATTAAGGGGGTTGCAGTCTGGGGAGATAGGTGGCCAGATGTAAGGAGTGATATGGTTGCAGAAATTGTCTGACAGCCATGACTGGGTTCTCCTGCTTGTGTAGCATGGTGCAGAGTCCTGTTGCCAGATATAGGGTCTTTCAGCAGCCACCCTCTTGACCAAAGGGCAGCACTTCTACCCCAAGGCACTTGTTGTAGGCCTCTGTGTTGAGTCTAAGGCCCTCAACAACAAATTCAGGAATTTTTTTCTTATCAGAATGATCAAGCTGCTGTACCTTTGTAATCACCATTAGACTCATTCAATTGGCACCCAAACACTCTGAAATGTTTGTATTGGTATTTCTGGCATGAATGCCAAGCAGTACAGCATGTGGTTTCCAAATTTCTGGTGCAGTGAATTGTGTCATGGTGTGCTTTTTCTCACTGACTGACCCTACTATACTGTGCAGTTGACAAAAAAAAAAACAAAAAAACTAACAAATAATGCACATGTGCAAAATTAAAAATCTAAAATGGTGACAATTTACCTATTGCAACCTGCATATATAAAATTTACTATATATTTCTTCATATCAGATAAAAATGTTTATAGGTATAGCCAGTATGGACATAGGAATTAACACTGTATAGTAACTGTCAATTTCACATTTCAATGTGATCTTCAGACCAAGATTGCATTGAAGCATGCAACTGAATCATCATACATTATTAATTCTTATGTATATAGTCTCATGTGCATGTGTAAGACAGGGTTCATTGCTTTAGAATGCATAAAACTTGCTTTTGTTTTCTTTATCTGTATGTGATGAAAACTTAAACTTACAAATGTTTCATGAAACAGTTAAAGGGCAGATCAGCCAAAAGGATAAAAAAGTGATATTGCCCAGAATGGCAAAGACAAAAGTACATTCTCAAATGAGGAGGGTAACTCTTTCACACAGAAGTTGTAATTTCCTGAAGAAAACTATGAGTCTCTTAATATTTGTTTTGTTAAATTTAGAAAAGTTACCAAATCTAGACATCCTAAGTATTATTATCCACAAATAGGAAAGGAGCCAAACAATTTGTTTAAGCCAGAGTTGGAAAAAAAAAAAAGTCATTATGACTGTTTTTTTATAAACATTAATCTCGACAAATTGTTAAAATAAAACAAAACTTGGCAATTTTCCCAAAAGCAAATCCAAGGACAGTTGAAATTTTTCTTCTGGAAAATGTTTACTCAAAGCAAAAAAAACAAAAAAACAAAATAAAAACAAGACTGCTTTAGAGTTGGACTCATTTTCCTACAATCAAATCAGAAAAAAAAGAATTTGATAAGTACAATATGATAATATATGATAACTATTTCTGTAATTGTTGGTAACTATACAGAATGTAAAATTCTTTTCAATTTTTATGTCACTGTATGTTTTGAGCATTTTTTTCTTTTTTTGATTAACAAATTGGACATTTAAGTTAGTACTGACTATTTTGTTCAAAAAGAAAACTTACAAAAACAAAACAAAAAAACTTTCAACATTAGGATCTATGATTGTATCTGGTATTTAGCCAAGTAGGCCACACACAATAAAAACAACAATAAGTATGTAATCAGGCATAACAACTTTTTTCTAAACTTTCCGATATGCATATAATTTTATCTCAAATATATTACTTGATAAAATTTGTTTTTTCATAAACAATATTTACTTTAAGGATTATTAAAGGATTTCCTATAAGTGACTACTTACAAGTTTATTCAAAAAGTAGTTCATATTAAGTGACAAAATGGCTAAGAATATGCTTATGATTAAATTTGTATTATTATATACAAAAGACTACCTCACCTTATCTTTCATTGGAAAAAATCTCAATTTGACCAAAGGAGAGTTTCCTCCAATTCTTTCATCAGTGTTATTCTTTTCTATTTGTATTATTTCAGTCATAAAATTATTTATGATAAAGGATTGAACAGTAAGCTTTTTGATAAAGAATTATAATGCTTTACCAACTACATAATCCTTTAGTGCGTGTGCGCGCACACACACACACACACACACACACTGCTGATTATCTTTTCTGACAGAGAAATCAGGAAAAAAACAACCAAAATTGTCCTCTGTCAGTGACATTTCAGAAAGCATTGGGAATGTGATGGTGGTGATGGTAACAAGAGTAGTTCAGGAAAGATTGCTCAAAGTTCAAAGCAGAAAAGTCACATAGGAAAAGTGTAAAGTTTACAGAAAAGTGAATAAATACTGAAAATAAACACGTAAAGGATTGACATCAGACATGAAAACCATGCATGACTAGACATCAAAACTTGAGTATTCTTCTTTCTTTCAGTCTATCAAGGCCTGAGAGAGTTTATGCTGCAATGACCTAGCATTAAAATTATAATTGTGTATAAGCAATCGGTTATTTTTTTTTTGGTGGGGGTATGCCCCCTCTTTAGTTGTTTGTAATTTTTGTTATTTATATATTGACAATCATACACCTGTATAAATATGATTTCTATTTTCTATTACAACAGACATTCTCTTGATAAAGTCTCAGCTATAGTGATGGTTGACAAGCTCAGAGTCCAGACAAACTTGTAACTTTTTGTCAAGAGAAAATTGACAAAATGAAAAAAAATATCATTGAATCATTCATTGTCTTGCAGATTATATTGTGTGTGAAAAAGAAGAACTTTTTGCATGTGTGGGTGTGTGTGCATGCACACATATGATGGCTAGCATTAAACGTTACTGTCTGGGGTTTAAACGGCTTCTAAAATCATGAGTGATGTTTGTTAGTTACTTCTGCTTGTTCCATATTTAACATAAACTTGGACTAAAATTAGACAATGATAAAAGATAAAAAAGAAGAGAAAAGAAAGAAGGGGGAAAAAGAAGAAGAGAGAAAAGAAAGAAGGGGGAAAAAGAAGAAGAGAGAAAAGAAAGAAGGGGGAAAAAAGAAGAGAGAAAAGAAAGAAGGGGGAAAAAAGAAGAAGAGAGAAAAGAAAGAAGGGGAAAAAGAAGAAGAGAGAAAAGAAAGAAGGGGGAAAAAGAAGAAGAGAGAAAAGAAAGAAGGGGGAAAAGAAGAAGAGAGAAGGGGGAAAAGAAGAGAAAGAAAGAAGGGGGGAAAAGAAGAAAAGAAAGAGGGGAAAAAAAGAAGAAAAAGGAAAAAAAAAAGAAGAAGAGAGAAAAGAAAGAAAAGGGAAAAAAGAAGAAGAGAGAAAAGAAAGAAAAGGGAAAAAAGAAGAAGAGAGAAAAGAAAGAAAAGGGAAAAAGGAAGAAGAGAGAAAAGAAAGAAAAGGGAAAAAGGAAGAAGAGAGAAAAGAAAGAAAAGGGAAAAAAGAAGAAGAGAGAAAAGAAGAAGAAGAAAAGAAAGAAAAGGAAAAAGAAGAAGAGAAAAAGAAAGAAAAAAGAAGAAAGAAAAGGGAAAGGGAAAAGGAAGAAGAGAGAAAAGAAAGAAAAGGGAAAAAGGAAGAAGAGAGAAAAGAAAGAAAAGGGAAAAAGGAAGAAGAGAGAAAAGAAAGAAAAGGGAAAAAGGAAGAAGAGAGAAAAGAAAGAAAAGGGAAAAAAGAAGAAGAGAGAAAAAGGAGGACAAGAAGAGAGAAAAGAGAATGCAGAGAGAAAAGACAGAGGGAGGAGGGAGGAGGAAAGACAGAGGGAGGAGGAAAGACAGAGGGAGGAGGAAAGACAGAGGGAGGAGGAAAGACAGAGGGAGGAGGAAAGACAGAGGGAGGAGGAAAGACAGAGGGAGGAGGAAAGACAGAGGGAGGAGGGAGGAGGAAAGACAGAGGGAGGAGGGAGGAGGAAAGACAGAGGGAGGAGGGAGGAGGAAAGACAGAGGGAGGAGGGAGGAGGAAAGACAGAGGGAGGAGGAAAGACAGAGGGAGGAGGCAAGACAGAGGGAGAAATAAGAGGAATGAGTAGGAGAAAAAAATTCATTTTAAATATTTCAATAAATTTACATTCACTGAAAAATTAAATTGAATTTTTCTTGATGTACGTTTTTTTCTTTTTTATCCTGCTCTTTTAATGTTACACAAAGAGTGAAATTTCCATTTAATTCAAACATGAATAGAATTTAATGGCATCACCTCAATTATAAGTTGTCCTGTACAGTCCATCAGTTTTGTATCAGTGATTTTATCTGTGATATTGCTGGATTGATGAGGTTGTGATGAAAAGTTCTCAGCCTGATGAAGGAAGATTGACAATTACTCCATCACTGTCCTCCATAATTTTTTGTATTGACTAAATTAATATTTAGGGAAGGAAAAAGTGATGATTAAGCACTAAATTGTTTTAGTATGTTTCAATAACCTATACGGTAGCCTCTGAAAAACTAAAGATTTGAAAAGTCATAAATTGTTTGTTTTCAATCTTTTTTTTGCAGGTTATAGAGCATCACTTGGAGATTAAAATGGCTACATATGGTGTCCAGCAACAAGTAAAAATCATTGAGTTTTTGTATTCCAATGAAAGATCAATTATTCTCCAAGAAAATACTGGCAACATTTTAATGTCAGAGTATCTCCTAGCAATAACATGGTTCAGAACCTAATCACCTAGTTTAAAAGAACTGGATCAGTCAGCGATCTTCTGGAAAGAGGTCCTAATAAGGGCACTGTGCACACTGACACTGTGGTGGACGGTGTATGGGAGAGTGTCTTTGAGGATCCATCAGCCTTTACCCATCATCACTCTGCTCAACTAGGCATTGCTACCAGAACATTATTTCAGAAGATTCTGAAACTGGATTTAAAAAGGTTTCCATCCAAATAAAATAATATAAAAAAAAATTATTTTGGATAATTTTGTTATGCCTTAAAAAGCAACAAAATACAAAATCACTGTCTGTGATTGAGAATAATAAAAAAAAAAAAAAAAAAAAAAAAAAAAAAAAAAGATTAAATCCAAGTGCATGAGTGAATTTTTTAGTGGAGTAAGAGTTTACTATATATATCTCATATCCAGTACCAAAATGAAGTCCAGATCAACCGGACAAAGATTGGTCGCCGTGAATAGTCAGATCAAGCTTTAATACACAAAATGTCCTTACAGCTCATGGTACTGGTTTGAATTCAAAGTTTTCATTTTCAGAGACCAGCTTCCACCTAAAACAAAGCCCAACTGGCCCTGTTATTTAACCGATAATAGGGGAAGATGGATTCATGCCTTTTCCAAGAGCTTTAGTGAGCATAATGGTAATCTGTTTCCCTACAAGGAAACATTTGGCATTCATTGACTGAGCAGCCAGTACTGCTTTTTGCTGAAATTTTCTTTTTTTAAACACTTTTTTCGGAAAACAGGTTTATCAAGTCCAGTAGATGTTATCACTTTTTCTAGATAATAGATCCTGTCAGAATTCGAACCTGGAATGCTGATCCCACTTTCTTTGCCGATAACCGTAACTACATGCACATCAGGAATTCGTATAAATGTTACCAACAGAATAGGGTTATTATGTGGTTGTGCAATATAACTGATGACTGTTGCAAATGAATCCAGATTTTCAACAACTCTAATATTGATTCATAGTTATTGGAGTAAAGAAATGAATAAAGGACAGCTGGACAGATTGTAAAGTAAGAAAATCAAATGATTTTATTACATTTGACTCCTTTCATAATATAACTAAGTTGAAACAATCTTTTATTTAAACAAATTTATAGCTTCAATGCTCAACTGTCTTTGATTACACTAGGTTAAACACACACATAAAAAAGAACAAAGTAAATGCAATGGTATTTCTAACATTGCATAAAGATAATAATGAAAAAATGCTTGATTGATAATATAGCTAGCTACATACACACATAAATGGTGGTTGTCAACTCAAAGTGAGTAAGATCATCACTGACATGTCCAGCCCTTCACTTAACCCCCCTCCCACACTGCATTCATCAGTTGCGTGAATGACAGTGGCTCATAAAACCAGCCATCGGTCTGCAATTCTTGTCACATATATGGTATGTCAAATCATCTCCAGGTGGTGGAAGGAGACTTTGGTCATCATCACTTTCATATGCCTTGTCAGGCCCGATCTAGACTTGCACACTCTAGTGCAGGTCGAGCATTCAAAGCATGCCATTACAAAATTGGCATACACAATAGACTGTTGGTATTGGTGTGACCGCTGGTGACTGAGCAGGCCCACCCTGAACAGACATATCCAATTACATTGGGTATATGGCCAGGTTGGCACCTCTTGGCAATTCAGGGAACCCTTCTGAACACCTCTTTTCAGTTCTGTATATTTTTGTGATGCCTCATGGAAGATCTTGATGTCATCAGCAATCCCAGCTCTCCAAGAAACCTGGTCTTCAGCCAGAGCCTCCGAGTTATCCAAACCAATATTACACTTGTATAGCGACTCTTTAAGGCAATCTTTGTTACAAAGTTTCACCTTGTGCTGCAATCTCCCCCCCTCCCATTTCCAATTCTCCATACATTATTCGTTTTGGAATTCTGTCATCCGCCATACAGACAACATGACCCGTCCGTTGCAATCTGTGCTTGTGTATAAGTGCTTCCACAGAGAATGAATTGGCCCTTTGTAGAACAACAGTATCAGGGGTGTAAGACATCCAGTGGATTTCAAACACAGACCGAAGGCAGTGTTGATGTAAACGTTCCAGTATTTTCAGATGTCTGTGATAGACAACCTCTATGTTTCATATACATACATATATTTTATACAGCCTATCAACTGTTTGTAGGTCATTTAAAGCCAGAAAATATCTTTGGAATGTCAAAATTTGGGGGGAGATAATAATTTAGTGGTACCAATCATTAATTAACCCATACGTGGAGGTAAGGAAATGGATTCTTACCTTTTCCAAGGGTGTTTGTGCATAAGTGAA